GGTCCGGTAACGGTTTTCTTTGCTGACACAGGCATGTCAAACAACATTTGAAAAAGGGTGAGGCTAGATAATTATTGGGGATATCAGAGCATTTATCTGGTGAAGATTTTTGTTGTTTTCAGAATTAATTATAAAGAGCAATTTGGAAATTAGTTCAGAAATAGAACGATATCTTTTAAATTTTTGGTAATTATGGTAAATGCTACCTAACTTTTTATGAAGACATTTTTTTTTACTTAAATCAGTTATGTATTGTAAAGTAGGTATAATTAGACTTAGCAATTGAAAAAAGTAACTTCTGATAAGGTGTCTGTACTAGTTTAATAAAAAACAAAGTTATTACATCGATTACTGACAACTAGTGATATTTTTTCCAAAGCATTTCTAACCAATAATTTGAAAGAAAGAAAGAAATAATTTCACTTTTCGCTCCCTATTTGCCTTCAGCCATCTGTATTTGCGTTTTACCATTTCATCGAATGCAATTTGGGGTCGTAATTGGTCGAAATAAAGCCTATTATGTCGAATCGCCGGCGATGATTGACAGCTGCCAATCAGGTCGCGTGAGGGTGGCGCGTGCGCCGCGGGAGTGCGGTGTGTCAGTGGTTTTGGGGAAAATGCTCGGCATTTTGGGTTACTGTGTGTATAAAAAGATTTATAATGCCTTAGGCAAGAAGTAAAGGTTTTAGGTTTCTAAAAACATCCTTTTCATATCCATAAATTATAAATCTACTTAAAAATTTTAAAATCAAATGTATTTTTAACACAAAATGATGCAATGGATGTTACTACTTCCACCTCCAATCGCTGCCACTCATCTGGAAAAAGATCTACAACTTGATTGCCGAAACTCTATCAATAAAGGAACTTTCCGAGACAAATTCAAATATCATATGCGCTACAAAAATTTTCAGAAGGAAATAGAAGGAACAATATTTCCGAAGAAGACCATAGATATTTCACGCAAGTAACACAGTTTATACTGTGCGATGCGAGTATATTGTGTATTCATTTACACAACAACATCAAATATATAGACTTATTGTATGTTAGTGTGAGGGTGGCGCGTGCACATACTACAAGGTGGTAGAGAAATTAAAGAAAACAATGACGGGCTTGCATGCACTGTTTTTTATTGGTATGATTTCACTATTTGACTCTATATTTTATTGACATAGAGCCACACTACTTCTCCGATCTCAGTAAACTTTAATCGGCTAACTCTACATAAATCACGAAATCGTATCCCAAAAACGCACCTTTTGTTTCAAACGGTGGGCCGCTCGCGGCCAAACATAAATCACCGTCAGAATAATCAGTATAGAACACAATTATATCATCTAGACAGTAATAAATCTCTAAATAATGCCGCATTTTGTGTGCTACTTCAGTGATCGTTACGTGATGTGGCTCCTCAGGCTATATGCAATCTTCATTAAATATAACTATTGTTCACCCACGCTAGTTTTTGGAGGCATCTTCGGTATACTACGTTACCTAAGTGGGTAATTTAAGTTCATTAGTGAATATTACTAGCTGCAAAAACTTAAGCTTCTCAACGATTGTATTTTCGAGACTGTACCATGAAACAAGAAAATTAATACACTCATGTTCGTTCTTTCGTTCGTTTCAGCCGAAAGACGTCCACTGCTGGACAAAGGCCTCCCCAAAGGATTTCCACAAAGTACTCATGTAATTAAAATGATTTAAAATAAGGATCAAATACAATCTTTTATGAGACAGATATTACATATTATTTCCACACTCCATGGTACGTGAATTTAAAAATGATTCCTACATTTCATTTTAAAAAATATTCCGTAGTTTTGTATGAAAGAATAATATAATAAGTATCCATCCTCACAACCTTCGCATTTATATTATTAGTAGGATCTAATATTTCATATAATGATGATTGATATCACAAAATTAAATACAGAAACGATATTCGTTAGGGATGCGTTAACAATTATCGATCAACGCCAATTGAATCGAACTGCCTGTATTAATATCGATAAATCAAATCGATTTCACCATAAATCAACAACACTGATGCCGGCGCGTACTCTGACAGCCAGGAACGCGTAAAATATTGCGCTGGTTCTTCCAAATTTGACTTTAATCCTCGATGAATTGCTTTTAATTGGAACAAAGGCAGACAGAATCCGTACAAATTGAGGCTAAGTCAGAAGGATTTCTTAGGTTGAGTTACACTATCTTAACTTTGACCGTAATTTTGACGATAGCCGGTGCTTTTTGAATAGATTTTGACAGATTTTTGACGTTTGTCAAAGTTAAAGTTCTTACTTTACAGTACTTACACTACAGTACTTTTACTTTAGAGTAGCACACGAAGTTAAAATCAGGGTTGAGATCAGTTGTTTACCAAAAATGCGATAAAACAAGAATTAATGAATTTCCTCTATTCATGTTTGGCTTTTCATGCGGTATTTTTACTTCTTTTTATGTAGTATTTCAGCACCAGTTGGTATGTTGTCCCGGAGTGCTATAATAAGTGTAAGCTACGAGTATTTTTTGGGACGCTAAAAGGGCTTACACTACATACTAAGAATTTGAACTTTGCTGGGTAATCGTACATTTAGACTGAAATTCTATAATAATATTATGAAAATCAGTGGTTTGAAATTTGCAAAAACTGTCTAAACTGTATTTTTCAGAAACCATGCTTGATACAAAGTAAACGGGACTACTGTACCGATTTCCTTTTGCTATCTGTAAGCTTACAAAAATAGTGATGGGAATGCAACGTTTTTAACGATTCTGTGATTTCAGCGTAATCAAAGTGGATTCGTTGCAATTTCCATTGACTGCCAAATTGGCGGTAAGCTTCAATCATCAATCAAGGTATGTTTTACTTCGAATCGAACAATTGGTTAGATTTTTGGCCCATTTCGCTGTCTGATCTTAAACGCAGCTATTATCTATACTCAAAGATTGCAATGGTTTGGCCTAAATACTTAATTGTGTTGTTTTCCATCGTTAGTTCAAGACTCTACATTTTAACCTTTCTTTCGCATGCTACAGAATTTAGAAACAAAATACTAAACCATATTTAATTTACAAAAATCCAAATGTTAGTAAAATTAATATAATATCTTAGTCTTATTTATTATTTTAACTTTTATGTTACTTGTAAAAATGTTGCTATTCAAAGCTCACTATTTGTTTCCAAAAATGTTTAATTTGTTTTTTAATTTATTAATACAGTTATTTTAATATTAAATAAACCTTTCAATGAAGATTACCATCAATATATTTTATGAAGAAAAAAAATCAAGGAACTACCTAACTACGGCAAGCTCAAAAATTATCAGCTTTTTGAAGCGCCTATTTTAAACTTATTAATGTAGAGCGTTATAAATATGGATAGTGGGTAGATACTCATAAAGGTACATAATAGCATACAATATTATTTTATCATCTTTATACTGAACAGCAACTATCAGAAACTCCAAAACCGTAAAGGAATAGAAAATCAAGTAAGAACCAAAGACCAAATACGGTACGCGTAGCGACATCCTGTTGAACTAAGTGACAATTTACAGTTCGCACGGTGGCACCTAGATGTCGCTAGTAAGCAAATTATTCTCATCTTTAACTAATAAGTACCGCTTAATGGATTTTGTAGGGTTAAACTGTTAAACTGCATTAATTGATTTTAATATTAAGCTCTATGTTTCTATTAAGTCTATTGCATTTTGTTGAAAACTCTTCCCATTCGTTTACATAATATAAAGATTTATTAACTTTTTATTTCAATTACTTAGTAGAGTCATAGAGTACAGTACTATCATATCTTACGTTTGATGTTAATTAATGAATGTTTGTATTTTATGTAAATATGTTATTTCTTATTATAATACTATTTAGTTTTGATGAAAAACTTAAACTCTTTTACCAAATATGATTTTGAATCTTATTTATAAGTTATAATGTTTTATACCATCGCAAAATTAGGTTTTAACTTTGAATTACTACTTACCTAATTATAGTATAATCAATATGCGCTATTTTCCTATTATCTTAATATTTTTTTACTATGCAAGGAATATATTAGTCGTTTATGAATAAATATACCTATTTATTTATTTATTGAAAAAGATATACACTATTTAAAAATATAATAATAATTGTTGGTTATATTTTTCTCGTTGGTAGGTACCTGTAACTAGTGATTTTTTATTACCTTACCTAAACTATTTTCTATAAGTAAAATCTACGGGCCAGGGTCGATTAACTATGTATGTATGTATTTAGTTATTCCTGTTTTTTTCTAAATTTAAAACTCTGTCATTATTTATAATTTTATTTATAATTTATAATAAAATTTGGAAAAAGTGTATTTTATTTTTTGTAAATAAGCACCAAAAACAGTGTTCAGTACAAGTAGTACCTACCTAAAGTACAGTTTCAGCTACCGAATGCTAATACTCAGTTTAGGACATGTATTGATTTTTCTGTGATGAAATAAACAATCCAGTATTTTAGTACTTATTGCAGTAGGTTTGTAAATTAATAAACTTAGTACGTAATTATGAAGTGAAAAGGGCAAACCCATTAATATTTATTTGTTAAAAAAAAGTTAAATATAAATGCTCAACGTTATGAAAGCAAAATCAAATATAAAAAATAAACTTAACACGCCCCGTACCGGGTTCTAAGCGTTACTAAAATTTTACGCAACATTGAAACCTATAATTAATTTGGCTCTTACATTATCTTAAGATTCTGGTGGTATTGCACGAACCATGACGCCATAAATGGCCACAGGCCACTCTCTTTATGGATCAAAATTGCTTGCACGCTATAGCGTTAGGCAATATTAGTTTCCACTTTCATAATTTGGTTGATTATGGTAACAGTAACTATAGAGATAATTTGTTTAGAATGTGAGAGAATCATTGATTAATATTGATTCGTTTTTGTTTTTTTAAAGCCAGGGAAATAAAAGATTAGAATAATTTGCATAATTTTCTTAATTGTTTTTATTTTTCTATAAGTAGCCTCGTCGACTTATTAGCTATCATAATATTTACAGGAATGTACAGAATATTACTACTAACTAAATCGAATTGTGCTATTATAAATTAAAATTACTTTTACATCTATCAATTTGAACATTGTCTGAAAAGCCTTACACTAATTTGGATGAAACTTTAAAACAAAGGTAATACTTTTCGGTAACTTTAGTTAACCACAAACTTAGGCTTAAAATCTATCACAATAAATAAACCTCTAGGAAAACATAACAATAAAAATTAAAATAAAAACAATAACATCAGTCTTTTTAGTCTTGAAAAAGATCGTTCAATCGTAACCAGCCTCCGTAGTTTGGTACCGTATGAAGTACATTGTAATTTGGCAAAGAGGTCAATGAATTACTATTACAATCAAAATAATGCTATGAATTAAATAATGACACAAAAGAAGACAGAGACAGAATACTCTACTAGTCAGTCGATGAGATATATCTTTGGTAAATAATAATAAATACTATAAGACTGATCTTTGATTTTGAAACATTTCTCTACTATATTCCGACGGATTCCATCAGAGAAGTAACGAATCATAAAAGCTATTTTATACAATCCAAAAGGCTTAAAGTTTTAACGTTTCATAATGTCCTCTATTGAAAATCCTAGCGTTCTTTTGGGTGCTTCTACAGGGGATTGGTGAGGACTCGCCAAGATCTGGTGCTGCGCTGGTGGAGGTGAAGGTTTGTGAGAGAGATCCAACAGAGAACTCTCAGGGACCTGACTGGTTGATGACACTTCCTGGCAACCTTCCAGATGGTCCAGGTGGTGCTTGCTCACATCACTGTGCGTCAACAAATGGGTCTTCAAGTTCGATCTTTGGTTAAAACTCTTGTTGCACACCGGACACTTGTGGGGAGATTCTTCCATGTGCAAAATCTTGTGCACTGCCAAAGTCCGGGATTGGCAGAAACCTTTCCCGCACTCCGTGCACTTGAAAGGCTTTTCCTTAGAGTGGATATACCTGGAAAAATAGAAAACAAACGTTAGATAAAAGTCACACTTTCACTATTAGAAACTGACGATGCCTAACAGGTTTAACGTCTCAATAAGTAGAATAGCCGTTGCCAATGAAATTCAAAGTAATTCCACATTACCCTGATAATGTATACAGGGTATAATGTGAGAAAAAAAGGAAGTTTGTCTCGTAAAAGCGAAGAAATATAACGTGTAATTTGTTCGCCGGCGGAGCAAGACAGATATGGTGATCGTAAAGAATGAAACCGGTCGAGGACGCGTGCGGCCGCCGCCTCGCGACCTCACAAAAAGTTTTACACTTTTAATTTATTTTTTTACTTTCTTATCGTCAACGGAGCTCGATGAAACACGTCCTAAATCACGTTGTTGATATTAGAGTGGTAACATTAAACGAAATGGAAACCCCATAAATAGGCGACTAATTACTGATACGGCTATCGTTATTGACGAGACAAAAAGTCAAGTAATTTCATGACACACTAAATGAAATGAGTTATGCTAAAACCTAAATGATACATTATTACAGAAAAAATATTTACCTATGATCTCTAAGGTGATCCTGTCTTCTAAACGCCTTCCCGCAAATATCACAGGAATACGGCCGCTCGTCAGTATGCGTCCTTTCGTGGATCAGCAAATTATATGACTTGGTGAACTGCCGATTGCAGTACTTGCAAATGAACTGCTTCTTGGGTCGCGCACCGGGGACGCCTGGTGCCCTCATCGGTGGCGGATTCCGTCCGGGCATTCTTTGCGCCATGACTCCTGGGTATCTTAGCGAATGGTGGTAGAGAGCGGCGTTCCTGATCCACTGGTTGACGAGCATAGCGTGGTAGGGCGCTGAGGGTGGTAGTGTTGCGACTTGGGCTTGCGCTTGGGCTTGGACGTAGGCCGTCATCGCTGGGTGTGGGTAAGTTGGTACTGGGGCTTTCTCGTAGGGGTAGGGGGTCTGCATGGCGGGTCGAGGGTAGGCAGCGTATTGCTGGGGTGCGGGTGGCGTCCACCCCGGTTGGTGGCGGGAGATGACGACGGCGGGAGGCGTGTCGTCGGTGGGCGTGTGCGGTGGGGTTGGCAAAGGGGGAGAGGGCCGCTCTAGCTTCACCAACGCTTCGATCGGGAAGTCTGGTGGATAGCCTGGGGAGAAAAAATTATGCTGTTAGGGGACAATCACATATTGTACCTATATGAATAGAATTATCTTGTCAAGAGCTAATGTTATTATTGTGACTCCTTTTTCTTCAAATCCATATCAAATCCTTATATTAAAATAATAAAACCCGCTCTATATTGATTTACATTCGCTTAAAACCTTGTTTATAATAAAAGTATGAATGTTTATTTTATTACCTTTTTATTTCATACTAATCTCTATGATTTTTACAGCAAATAATAATATAACTGCAAATTCTTTAAGCTTGTATTTTATATTGCTCCAAATCACTAATACTTTTCAATTGTACCTATGTTTACGATAACAAATCTACAACTCCAAAGTGCAAACACTAAAACAACAAAATGCCAACAAATACTTACTGTGGCTATCCTCGATATGTTCCTCCTCCTCCTCAATGTTGATATCATCCGAAGAATCAACACTGTACGGCTTATCTTCCATGTCCACTTCGTAACAATCCATTCAAACGTTCACTGGGGCACAGCACTTTGGTATCACTGTTGTCACTTCCAAACCGGTTTGGGGACTGACAACCGGCTTGAGAGAGCGCGCGGAGCGTTATGAGTTTGTGTGCGTTGGGTGTTAGGAACTGCGCGCACGACGAGGGAGGGGGAAGATCAAACGCGCCGCGGACTATCGGCTCCCTAAGCGGCAAAGCGCCTCCTAGTGGGCGGGGCTTACCGAGCTCTGCCTTCGGAATCGATTGGTCACCATCGCGAATCGACTTAAGAACTCCTCCGTTGAGTTGCACAAAGTCCTTGTTCTCTTTCACTTTTGCATCTGATGGAACTTTGTCGCTTTAGTAAAATAAAACTTCAGTCGTTTTAGTTTTGAGCGGTTTGCTAACTCAATGCAAATTTTTGGTGACACAGCGTCCCCTAGTGAAGCTATTAGGTGAGCGAATTGCTCTCGTAATTTCGTTTTGTAGGCAAGTCTTTGTACTGGAGCCTTTGTTCGGGCTCTTTGTAATTTGTCTTTCTATTGCTTGCGATGTATTGCTGAACCAGACGCTATTGTAGAGATTTGGAAACAGTGAAAGCTCTAAGTGGCGATGTGTAGAACTATTATGGATTGACCTAATTAGTATGTAGGAGGAATATTAATTCAGATATTTCGGTAAATTTTGTAAAAAACAAAGGTACTAAACTATGTAGATTGTAGAGTCACATTTAACAGATAATTTTTGAAGTTTATAAAGTAGTTATTAATAAAATTACAAAATATTTGCATTAAAATTAAAGACAGAAACATAAACTTCCCGTCATTGGACGCTACCAACCATTGGACAAAACACAATAAAACTGTATCACTAGAATATATTTAAAACACTGTCATTGATCAATCATTCCAAATATTGATTATAATCACAGAAAAATCAATTGTCCCTATGATCATTTGTATGATCATTACCATACTGTCTCTTTTATTTTAGTGAATTTAATAGGGCATTTTTGTTTAATTTAAATAATCCTAACTACCGAAATATTAACTAAGTATATTGGTACTTACCTCAATAAAAAAGCACATCAACGAAAACAATCGTTAGTAAAGCGTCAATAATTTAATGACTTTGATTAATTGATATTCGGTGACTGGTTAAAGTACTTAAATCTGTTAAGCCGCTTAATTGCACAACTAATTAATTAGTAATTAGGTGAAAGTAATTTTTATCGGAAATTATACCACTCATGGCTACGTAACGTAAGTTCAATCTACTTTTTAAGGAAATAATGCCTTATTATTATTATGTAAATTGCATTGAATGAGATGTAAAACTATCCAATGTAAGAATATTTATAAATCAACAAAGATAAATATAAATATACCTACGCTTCATAAACCTATACCGAACTTTTGCAACTTTGTAACCGGGAATTATGAATCTGTAAATAAAATGATCTCCCAAAAGGCATAGTCGGTGCAAATAGACTTGTACAATCTTGCAAACAAAGAGGCTTTATAACTAACAAAAGGATCCCCAGATTAAAAACAAAAGCTTGCGCAAAACTAAATAGGCTTACCTATCCTAAACAAAAGGACTTGACATATCTGACTCTACCTGGCTCGATCACTCGCCCTGGGATACAACCATGAGTAAAAGAGCAGTCTGGTGCAGTCACATAAGCCGTCTCCCACTGCTGCTTTCACTTGGTCGGTCCAGCGCATTGGTGTTCGCGATCGGGTTCCTTCGACTTTTCCCTGGACGACCAGTCGTTCTATGGAGTTGTCATCCCGCCTCATGACATGTCCGAAGTATTGCAGTATGTGCGACTGGACTACGGTTGATAAACGCTCGCTTGGAGGGAGATCGTGCGGAGAGTTGTATCCGCCTCTACAACCGATGTGAACAACGCCTCAACGTGACCACGACCGGTAACGAATAAGAAGAAGAAGAAAAGAGAAGTTGAAGATGTGTCGATATGAAATCGAAGTATGTTATGAAGTTCAGTCGCACATTGTCTATTTTCCCAGATAGACGTTAGGAAAGGAAAAATGAAAACAGAAATATATACCTAGCAAAACAACCATAATAAGTAAAATGGACTGTCCAAAATAAAATTAAAACTTTGTTGTATCGATAGACTCCTGGTAAAAAAGCAAACATGTGTCGGGTACTTTTTTTAAGGTAGAGTGTAAATAGCAAATTTCAAATATTCAACAATAACCTCCAGTCTGAAGGTACTATAGTCATGCATTTTCAGTTAAATTCGTATCAGTCTGGGCTGGGATCAAACGTCATAATGCAATAAGAGACTATTATTCAGAATGAAGCTATCCATTAACATATAAACCTATCCATTAACATTTTCAGGATTCACACAACGCAACGTTTCAAAATACTGAAGAATAAAGTTTGCTGAAAGATGGTTCAAGTAAGGATTCTATCAGCTCCATCAGATTCTAGACTTAACAAGATCACACTGCACTTCCATAATCGATCATGGAATCAATGGAATTGCCTAACTTAACTCTATCATGCACCAACGTGCATCTGTCTCCGAGTTTCTCTTCCAAACTTCAACTATCAAACCAACTATCGAAGTCTCTAAAGCCCGTATTCACAAACGATACTTGCTTAAGTAAAGCAGCAAATCGAACGCACAGCGTTGAATAGAGCTCTGTGATTGGTCGTGTGTGACCCTGTGCGTCCACGCGCACTGTGAGACCTCATAGTAATGTTTGTGAATACGGGCAAACCACAAGCATGATTTACAAGTCGCGTGGATAGACGCGCAAACATGGCTCAGGTGGGGACGCGGTACCCTTTGTGGGACTTCAAAGGTGCCGACTCAAACATAAACTTGACTGTAACCTACATACGAACATCCCAAAATAAGCCTTAGCATCCTAGTCATTAAGTTTAAGTTTCGTTAGCGTATTAACTAACTAAGGTCATATGCCAGTAGATACTTTGTACAGTCTAGCCGAGCTTGTTGCGTCGATTGAGCAATGTTAGCGAATTCGAAAGAAGATGTTGACGAGTGTCATAATACATGGCTTTGTTATGATGGCCATTGTTAGTAATGTGATATGCAAAGGTAATGAGCTAACCGAATTAGACATGTTTATATGACGTTGCGATTTCAAAATTAATAGGGTGTCAGTTAAAATCGACACTTTAAAGTCTCTAACTGCCTGCCTTTTCGACCAAAATCTGTTCAAAACAATTTGTGGCTCCTAAAGAAAATAAAATTAGGTATTTTTGAAAGAAACACAATATGCATCAACATTTTTTCGCTTATCGTATTAAATTATAGCTTCTGTTTTAAAACTGTTTCTGTGGACAAATACTTTGCTGAGATTAATAACACGTCATTGTATAAATACGTAACTATGTAATATGACTAGAGTCGCGATAAGACTTAGTTTTGTTTACTACTGTCCTCATATATTTAAATTTTTCCTGCAATTTAGTTTACTTATAAAATAACTCATTCTACTCGGTATAGACTAGTTTTGATTAACCAAAACAGGGAAGCTCTTAGCCTGCATCACATCTAATGAAAAGTGATGATTAGGTTGAAGTTGGAAACAATTTTTTCTCGAAAGCTATCGAAAATCTAGCAATGTTACCTTCAAGTGCTAAGACATAACCATTTGCTTTGGCTGAAGTGATGATGATGTTAATGATTCATTTTGGTCTTTTGTAACCATTTATTAATGCAAGAACTATAATTGGGTTTAAGAATAAGAATTCAAAACATGAGAAACAAAACAGGCCCCAATATACATCCCTGCGGAACACCAAAAAAAAAAAATAGAAGTCGTGAATCAAACTACTGCGAACATTTAAAATTTGCAACCAAAATTGCCACTTAATAGAATTAAAAAGTCGATCGACTCTATTATTCACCCCTTTAAACATGTTTCTTGATTAAGATTGTATCTGGTAATGTATGTTTTGCGTTCCTTTGATGCTTGAACGAGTATACAAATCGTATTAAACGGCATTTGCATCTGAGCTATCGCCTACTATATTTTTTAATGTTTTTTTTTCAATAGTGTTGTGAGTGACTACATGAATATTTCAAATGTAGAGTGTGTGTGTGATATATATTATTTTTACTATAACAAAATAAGTATAGATAAGAACATTATTTTATTTTTAAGATACCTAAAACGACAAATGTTGTGGGTTTCTATTGTAGTAAAATTAACAATTTGATTATTTTACCTACATTTAAATACAGGTAAGAAAAATATGGGAATTTTGGAAGATCTATCACGTACGCCACAAAAAATGTAGAGTCATGACAGCTTGGAAAATAATAATAAAAAATAATGTTTCACACTCTGTAACAAATACAATTAATCTAATACATCATTATGTATACCAAAGTCAAAGCAGCAGAGTTCAAAATACACATAACTTTGTTTGTGGTACAGTCATACCTATCTTATTAGAGCTAAACAGCCCAGATAAAGACTAATTGCTTCTAAGTTTTTTACAATCGGATTCCCCATACGACAGTACCAATAAACAAAAGATTACAGCAATTAGGAATAAAGCGGTCAAAGTCTTCCTAGTGTTGTTCAAACAAATTCTAACGTTCACTCTGATAAACCTGTATTCATAGCGATTTAGATCTGTTCAAATAAACATTGCTGTAATATAATTAAAATTAAAAACTACTATAATTTTTCTCAAATAAATACCCAAATGAAATTTATGATGATGAAACAGTATTTTATTTAAATAAATTTACCTTCTCATTATCATCATCATCCGTTCATTAAGTGTCTATTGTAAAAACCGGTCTAATTTATCAGAGGCTTCAGTAAAATTTTCTATTCCAGAGGCAGACAGAAAATTTGGTCTACGCTCCCCACGCTATCTTGGCTGGGGAGACAATATTCGCACATATATCTCTTAATATGTCACCTTCTACGATATCTATGTATTAAACTATACTAATAAAAATCCTGACAATAAGTTAAAAAGAAACTTCTGGTGGATTCGCATGTCAATTTTTGACGACATCAAAATCACTTAAACGGCGCCGTAGAATCAGGCTGGTAAAACACTTATTTTATAAGTAGCCTAAATTTTAATTACAGTGTAAATATAATAA